TGGGTGCTGGGGAAGGTGAGGGGGGTTAGGGGGGAGAAGATTGAGGGGGGGAGGGCGATGGAGGAGGTGCTTTTGGGGAGGGCTTTTGTGGAGGGGAGGGTGATGTTGATGGTGTAGAGGGCGCGTGGGGCAGTGGGGGTGCTTCCTAGGACTGCGAATTCGGTGTCGGAGATTCGGGCGAGGCCTTTGAACGAGATGTCGACGAGGTTGAGAGGGAGCTCGGTGACGGAGTTGGTGGGGATGTCGTAGAGGAGGAGGCCGTTGACTGCGTTGCGACAGTAGGTTATTACCCATTTGTCTTTGGTGAGTTGGATGTAGGTAGAACTACCATGATCAATATCAGTCATAAAATATATATATTTTCCAAGAAAATTAAGAAAGAAATGGAAGTTCAGGAGAAAAAGAAAACAAGATCCATCTCACTTCCCCAACCTCATCTCCCTCGCCCCAACCTCCACATCCTCATACCCCCTCACCCCAACCCTCTCAACACACTCTTTCTCTATATCAAACCTAAACAACTGCCACACCCCCTCGGGATCATTAACAAACCACAAATCCCCCTCCATCCCTCACCTCGGCTGACAAACCGCCTGCTCGCCCTTCCGTCCAGCCACATACCTCCCCTCTAGTCTCCCCTCCCTCCACAGGGCAACAAACACCTCGCTGCCCGTCCAGGGCATATCCGGATGGCACCATTGTATCCAAGAAACCCACGCCCCATCCGGACTCCAACGAGGATGACTATAAAGGTCCGCTCCCTCTGCCAACACCACCTGCCTCCCATCTTCATGCAGGGCAACGATACAATTCCTCTCCTCCCCATCTTCCAAGGACTCCTCTTTAACCGCAAGAACCCACTCGTCCTTCTTCTCAAAATCCGCATACCTAACGCTCTCCTTACCTTCCACCAAAGTCTTTACCTCCACCTCCCTAGCTTCCCCCTCAAGGTTTTCAAGGATAAAAACCCCATTCGTAATCGCATCTGTGAAAACAATCTTGTTATCATACCCAATGGTAGCGGCTGCACCTCCATAGCACGATTTCGCGTAAAGCGTACAATCGACGCTCTCCACCCGTCCTTGGGTCGTCCTTCGACGAGGTAGATATCCTCCGTGGGCTGATTGAATTTCTGGTCAGTCATAGTGTTCTTAAGCAAAGCAAACGAAAGAAAATAACATCAACACCACACACACCACACACACCACACACACCACACCA